TTTTATTTCTTATCTCCATAATTTACCATTGTTGCCTTTGACTTTCTTCAATACAATTAATCTTGTTCTGGAGTCCACCTTCCTTGACGGTTAAAAAAGTTCAATTTTTATTCTCAGTTGCAAGTCCTTATGACGATAACCTTGCTCTGGGAGCAGTGTAGTTCTCTGCTAAGTTGCAGGTATTTCAATCAAGGGGACAACCCACATTATATATACATTTAATGCTTGGATACATCACAGATACTTGCTAACTACTTTGTGACGAGACCAAGAATTTAAGAACAGAACACCATAAATCATAGGTTGATATTACATCTTTTCTAGGTGATCCAAGACTCTTAATGAAATTTTGTGAATATTATTTAATTTGTTATTCATATTACTACATGGAAATAATTTATGTTACATATGCGTACCTCACCCAATTGCATCCTTTCGCATCCATGTTATAGATAAATAATAGCAATTCACGGCATTCTTTTAGTTCTGTATCCACAATGTGTCCATATCTGGGTTTTCAAGCTTTGTGTTATCCCATATCCATTTATGCTATAATTGTATCTTATATCTGTATCAGTGCAGCATAGATTCTCTGATAAGAAATTCAAGTGGCTCCACCGTACACAGGCAATGCAAATGAAATATAAAGACATTTACTTGGAAACTTATGTTCTAGAAAAAGCAATCTGCATCATGGACGCTACCAAAGTTAGATCTAGACTAAACTTGAGTTCATTCTGAGCAAAATCAACCTTAAACCTAGACCAAATTAAATGTATAGACATTCATTTGGCAAACTATATTCTTGAAGCAATCTGCTTCATGGGTCATGCTACTAAAGTTAAATTTAAGTTAAACTTGAAGGCTGCCTGCTGAAGCAAAATTCGCCCTAAACATCTTTTTAGAATATGTCATAATTAGGCAGGGGTCAACTGAACTAGCTAAAAGGTGTATTCTGTTTGTATTCTCCTGTTCCAGTTATTTGGGTCAGCCATGTATATATATTTAATTTTCGAAATTATCCTAGTTATTAAAGAATTCCAACAATCATATTATATATCCTCTGGGGGCATCCAAGATTTTCAGTCAGTAGTCAGTACAAAGATTTTGTCAATCCAGGTCAAGAATTCTATTCAATTTGACCGGGTCCTTGTGAATTAGTGTGTGGATGGGCCTTTTATGGCTCTGGATTGTTCTACCCATTTTCAGTCTCGTCAAGACCTCTATACTCAACATTGTTCAGGTCATTAGTTTGGGAAATACCATCCTATCAATACTAACATTACCTTCTGAGTATGTAAATATCCTAACGACTTGTTGACAGAGTTCTACTCCTCCCTCTTTTCAGCTACTGTATGAATGTCGAAAAACTTCAGGTACCTGTTCCATGGTATTGTGAAGAATGCCTTCAGTATCTTACTGTCGCTCATGAAGGTGCTGTAAATGCATCTAAAAAGCAGAAAAATATTCATGGTGATTGTTCGGTTAGTAAAGATCCTCCTAAAGGAAGCACTTCACTGACCAGGAGAGCCAGTCCTGTATGCCTTGTTAAGGGCGAGAACCAAACTGGAACTAGAAAACCTATATGTTCTGAAGATGGTTCACATAAGACATCTAACAGGGCACCTATATCATCCAGTTCACAAGCAAATCATGAAATTTTTACGGCAAATAAAGGGACTCTTGATGGCGATAACCATGGTTCTTCTTCTAAGTGCATAATGTTAAAGCGACGTGCTAGTATCTGCAGCAATGAGAAGATACAAGATTTGAAAAGATCAGGTCTAATTCTTAAGTATATCTTGCTTTTGGATTAATTTTAGTATTTTTTATCTCTTAAAAAATTCTTAGTTCTTTTATAGGAACTGGATTTTATTGTGATTATGAGTCCAAAACAATTGGATCTCAAACTTTGGGACTACCTCTGCCGATAGCCATAAATCCAGATGAAAAGCTTCTAAGGAACCATGCTCCACAAGTTTGCTGGAAGTAAGTATCCATCACTTTTCTTTTACAGTTAATAAAGAACATTTTCCTTAACAAATGTTTTCCTTAACAAATGATCAGTAGTCTCTGACGTTTAAAGTAAAAGATCAAGGTCTTGAACCTGAATATCCATTAAAGATACTGAGAAATTAGAGATTCATTGGACAAAGTGGATACATACAATATTTATTTCAGGTTACGCTTTCTATGACTTTATTTCTTCTGCTTATATTTTTGATTCTGCAGGGGAAAGTTCGAGATATTTGAAATGGTTCTTCATAAATATGAGGGAATTCAATGCCATCTTTCCTGTGTTTCACATTGTAAGGTTGAAAAGATCTTTAAAGACCTGCCTGAAAATTTGAATTTGAAGGAACTACCTCGAAAAGATGTGTGGCCCAGAATCTTTCATTTGGACCCTCCCACCAAAGAGGACATTGGAGCATACTTCTTTGTCTCTGATCCAGGGAGGTAAGTTGGAATTTGAGAATGCTATATACTTCAGATAAACTTATTTCAGATGGGAGTCTGGATCCGTCTGGCTTACTTGAGAAATTTGTTCTTTTCACCCTGCATTTTCTTCTTCTTGTAAATTATGTAGACAACGGAAATGTCACATTTAATGTGTCTAATTATTCTCTACTGTAGGTTAAAAGAAAAGTACATCCGTCTTCTTGAGCGGGTTAATTCACGTGATTCTGCATTGAAAGCTTGCATGAAGGATATTAAATTATTGGTATTTTCATCGAAGCAACTGCCGGTAGATTCTCAACGTGGGTTTACCATTCATTTCAGCATCAAGTTTTTTATAAGTGATAGCTTGGCCTTTCATTTCACTGATTCATTTTCAAATAAATGATAATGACATGGGTATTAAAATATACTAAATTTGTTTTCCTATGCACCAAGATTCTTGAAGACATCTTTAGTTCGAGGTATAATATATTTATAGCATTATGTGTTAATTTAGAACAGTATAATAGATAATTTTTGTTAGCTTTCCCACTTTACACGCGCGTGAGCACGCAGACACATACATACATCAGTGTCTGCAGACATACATAATAAGACACACATAAAATTGGCCTAAATGTGGTACAGATATACATACATGGATGTGTGTGCGCCCATACGTGCATACATTCACATGCCAGCACATTGGCAAATTATAAAGTTTGTATTCTTTTCTTGTCTTTGTGCTCCCAATGTTCTTAATCTGGAGGAAGAGTATGCGACAAAAGCTATATTGAAGTGGTTTCATCTAAAAGTGCATGATGTACTTATATGTAGCATTGAGCCAAGTAGAAGGAAGAACTGAGACTTATGAATGATGATTTGGCCAACAGGAATAGGTGGAGAACCATATTTGTGGGGTGTACTTATGCATGCGAAAGTAAAACGTTCTGCTACAGCTTCAACGAACAATAACTGTACTCAACTAAAAGCTCCGTTAGAAAGTAACACTATGAATATCATAATTCAGAAAGAGAATGCAAAGGCTGATGTATTCGCGTCTAGCATTACGCCTCCTGGTTTTTCAGCACCAAATTCAGGAGATTTCAAGTGTATTAGAAGGGCTGTTGACGTTACTTTGTTAAAAATGGTGGTAGACCCTGTAGAACCAGAAGTTCCTCCTGGCTTCTCAAAAATCACGCCTCCTGGATTTCCTGAAGTACAAGAAGCTATGAGGGGCAAAAATTATACTGAACTGAATGTCCCACTTGATCGGCAGGCTGAGAAAGTTGATGTGAAGCAAAATGTATTGAAACGAAGCATTGATACACCACCTGGTTTTCCGGTACCACTTTTAAGAGAGACTAGTTCTGTCAAAAGATCCTCTAGCCAGTTTTCCTCGAATAACATGGTTAATCCAATCAATCCAGATGTGCCTCCTGAGTTCTCTGGACTCTCACGTCCTGGTTTTCCCAAACTCTTGAGTTCTCAACGCAGCTCACATGAGACCAAATTTGAAAGTGTAATGCCATCAAGAAATGATTCTGCGAGCTGTATTCCTTCAACTGCTATGGAAGGATATTCATCAAAAGCTTCAAAACCAGAGGATGTTAAACCCAAGTGTCATCAGGTACAAAAAATGTCCCTTTTTTGGCATATATGATTCAGTGTTGTTTAAACTTTTCTTCCCAAATGCAGAACCTATAACCTTCACCCTTATCCCTGTGTTACATTAATAAACCGCCTTTCTGTAACTTAAGTTTGTTTCACTTGTGTGATGATATCTTCTTTACTTTTCTCTATTTTGTCTTCTGTATATATTGTCTGTACTTTTTATTATTATCATTTATAGAGGTAGCTTGATTTATCAGTCTATAAGTATTCTATTTTAAGCTGAGATTTATTGCAAAGTTAACCCACTACTGGGTAGTTCAAGACCAGGCCTGAAACTTCATTGTGGTGTCGCTGTATGAATTCGTGAGATATTACAACAACAGCACTACCAACAACAACAAAGCCTTTATCCCAAAATTTTGACATAGTCTGGTGAATCCTTTTCTTTATTCAGTTTTTGCAGGGTCAAAATATTATTTGGGCGAGTCTGATGTACAGCACTGAAGTACACTTCAGTAAGTGGTATGAATGTTTAGGATAAGCTACAAGTATCTACATGTACTGCCAGCAATCTTTACAATTTACTACATTGGATTGAAAAATAATAATGGGCGAGTTGGTAAACAAAATGGCAAATGGATGGTATACACTCTAGAAAGCTTTTTCCGATAAAATCCCGGATATTTGGATTAGTTTTAAAATCTTAACATATGATGAGTACAATGAATCAGTGGTAGAAACACTTTTTCTATTGTGCATTGTTAACTTGATTATTCCATCTTGGTGATCCTAATCCAAAGAGGATGATGTTTTATCGGTTTGTTCACGTCGCCTCTTGTATGTTCAAGCAAAAGGAGAAATCGTGTTACTCATCATGTTTATTCTTATTGTTCATAGCCAAATTCTCCTGACATCACTAAAATTGATATTGTTTTGTTTAAAAACTCAGCATTTGAGAACTATGTTGAGAATGTTTGCTTCGTATCTAATTTCTATAAAGTACCTTGGTCTCCTTGTCTTCTAACATGTGATTGGGAGAATGGATGAATGGATTAAAGTGTTTTTTTGGAGAATGGATGAATGGATTAAAGTGTTTTTTTTTACTGTTATATGAAGACCTATCTCTTCCTTCTAGTGTTTTTCTTGAGATCTGCATAACTTCAGCTTGCAAGACATTAATGCATGTGTATTTCATTCTATCGGTTGGTATAACTTGTATGATCCGGTACTTAGTAAAACTCCAGCTCATTTACATGGGAAGGTAGGTAAGCAATATTCATCAGCTTACATGGTTTCAAACAGGGTTAATTGCATTAACACACCTTGTATTTGCAGGTTTGCCACTTAATGCCCTAAACTATTTTATTAGCACATGTTATCCAGAGGATTTGGTTGAAGCAAGTCTTGAGGGAGCTCCAGATGACACCTGACCTAATTTACTAGTTTATTTGTGTGTAAGAGACAGTGAGTTGGTGGATGCGTTAGAGGATAGGTGGGTGAGTGAAAGGGAGGGAGGGAGAAAGATATTTGTTTAACTCTGCAGATAGACCCCCCAGGGTAAAAAAAAAATAAATCAGTCTGAGTGTATGTGCTAATAAATAGTCTGCGAGTAATAAGTGCAAATCTGCATTATACAGGGCGTGTATCTGCACTTGACGCCTTAAAATATGTATCAGATAACATAACATTCTTGCTTTCTGATATGGAACTGGTCTAGCTTTCCTATCAACTATTTCTTAAATAACTGAGCTTGGTTGTTTTGCAAGTCTTCTTTTTAGCATTTATTATTATTATTATTAGCAGCTGCTCATCCTCTAAAATCAAGCACCACTACGACTACCACTATTACTAAATCTGCATAAATCAAGCAATTTTGTGAACAGGTATTTGATAATTGGTGCCAGTCCACAGAGCATGCTGGAACCAATAATGTCACTTACTCAGCCGTAGAGAAGAATGGGTTTAATTCAACAGATTCACCTGAGAGAGCTGCCAAACTATGTTCTATTAGCGAAAACCTTCCATCTTCATCTACAGCACAAAAAGTGCATGGCTTGTCTGAGAACCATTCAAGTTGGAGAGGGGGAACATGTCCAACAAATAGCCTAGAAACATTCTCAATTTTCCATGACAAGTCACTGAGTGAATCTGGACCTCCCTGCTCATCAGCTGCAAGGCGCAATGATTGTGCTCAATTAAACGTTCCTTCTGGAAGAAATCCCAAAGAAGTTATGCAGATTGACATGCCATGGGATGAAAAGATTGTCAGGAAAGATATATCCATTCCAAGAATGGACTATATGCCAGGGGATGAGAAGCTTGTCAGAAGACATGAATCCATAGCAAGAGTTGAATCTCTGTCTCCTCCATCTGATTTGGATATTGACAAGTCAGAAGACACAAAGGTTGACAAGAATGTTAGATCCATACCAAGTGTTGATATGTTTCCTTGTTCATCTGACGTTAGCGTGAAGGATGACATGCCAAACCCCACAAAGGTTGACAAGAAAGATAGACACATTATTAAATTTTCATTGAAGAATGTGACCAATCCAATCCGTCAAAGTGTTCCTCTTTTCTTCTCCAAACCCGGGCCTCCCAGCCAACCTAAAATCCCGAGTTCTGAAGTTCAAATTAGCTTCCCTGAGGTCAGTTCCAAGAATCCTTGCCCCTCAAAGCTGGATAGTAAAATTATATTTTCACCTACAGGTAAAAGCTACGCAGAAAAAGTTTCTAAAACTTGCCAAATGCAGTCGAAGAGCTGTAAGGTATTAATATCTTGTGCAATTTGTTTATCATCTTTAGTTCTAGTTTGAAAAAGATTTTGAAAGGTAGCAGAAACTTGCCTACCGTCTTTATGTATCTCAGTTTGTTTTCTCATAACTTCATGTTCAATGATTGAGAACATATTTTCTTTTTAATCAAGTCCTTCAAATTTCTGTATATATCTCAGTTCAGATTGAATAACTAGTTGTGTATTACAATATCCATGTAACAGCGTCATTATAAAAGTTCATTTCTCTATTCGTTACATTTGTATTATCATTTATGTACTTATGGAGCAGCTAACATTTTAAGGAATTGTTACATCTGTGCTATCAGAAGGAATCTATTATGATAGACTCATCTTTATCTAAATTATTAAGTTGTCTCAAGTTAGAGCTTCGGACAGGATTTACTTTCGTTTCTTTTCACTTAGTATGCTTTTGCATGTTCTTTTTCTCATGTATACTTCTCTCTGCTTTTCCCTTTTTTTTCTTTTTGGTAGTGTTTCAGACCTCCTGAAGGATCATCACCCTCCTATTTTAACTGTCATGTGTGTTGGTGGAGATCCTCAGAAGAGTTTCTTATTTCTATATCTTGCATTTTCATTACTTGAATGTATGCAGGAAGATGATGCCCTGGGCTGTAAGTTTTGCCCATGCACGCAAACGCACCCCCCCACCCCCCACCCAAAAAGAAAGGAAAAAAAAAGAAACCGACACACACAAAACAGATTTGAAATGAGCACATATTTTTTGATAAGTAATGCACTGATTGGAATGAGTACATATTTTTCCTACTGATCTTGGATTATGTAAAATCAAAATGACACGTGTAGAAGCAGATTTTCTTTCCAGTGTCTTATAATTGATCTTCAGAGTTAAATATCAGATAACTATCTCTGATTACGATAGTTCTAACAGACCATATAGATGCTATATGAGAAATATCAAACCCTTCCTAACACCAACCATATTCATAAGCAGGATATTGATTGTGATCACAAGTCTGCTGAGCATCATCGCTACACTAGTGCTTCTCAGCCTATAGAAGAAAAGAAAGGATTTACATCATTTGCTTCACCTGATGGATGTAGTGAGCCTCAGTCTACAAGCGAGAAGCTTCCATCTTTATCTTTAAAAGAGAAATCACACAATTCATCTATTGAAGGGTAGACTGCTGGCATTCCAGAAAACTCAGTTTGGAAACAAAGATGTAGAAGAAAGGACAAAGGCTCCTCATCAAAGGACTCCCGATGATGCAATGAAGGGTAGACTGCTGGAATTCCAGAAAACTCAGTTTGGCAACATAGATGTGGAAGAAAGGACAAAGGATCCTCATCAAAGGACTCCCGATGATGCAAAGGGAGAGAGAGAAACGGAAAGCAAGAACAAAGAGGATTCAGTGAAGAAGAGATTGTCTTCAGTATCAGATAACAGCAGTTTCTCGGGTCACACAGATGGTCAGTCAAGTGGCCAAAGGGAACCAAATCCACCCGCTCAAAGGGGGACAAACCCAGTGAAGGAAAGCAAGAGAAGCTCTTCTGGTGAAAGAAATACTGACAAAACAAAAGGAGAAGGAAAAATGCAATGCAAGAAAACCAATTCTGTCAGCGAGAAAACCCTTTTGTTGTCTGCTAACAACAGTGGATCAGATACCCATAAACCATCTTCATCGCCCTCAGCATCTCAAGAAGGTAGAAGTTCAGTGAACAGTAATCAAAGTGAATCAACCTCTTGGTCTGCTAACAAAAACAAGTCTTTTGTCTCTGCCTTTTATGGCAGCCCTTCAGTTTTCGATCGACGGTCTGCCCCAGCTATTCTAAGGGGAAGAAAGTAAACTAAGTGCTTGATCTTGGCTAAAATCATGGTAAAGGGATCACTATCCAGACAGTTTTGTAAATGTATTGATACTCCCTTAGTGTTTGTACGTGCATATACACTCTTCATGGTCTGTGTATTGGTAGTAGTATTTGACAGCTGCTATTTGCGTAATTAAGTGTCTCTTTGAATATATGTGACTTTCTTTCATATTTGGATGTATGACATGAGATTTGAATTGTGTTTTTGTGGATTGCGCTTGGATTGATATAAGGGAGATAATGATTATTTTATGATTGTGTATATTTTCATTTTGTTTACGTTTTGGATGTTGTTTGTATTGTTTGAAGAGATATTTGTTATATTATTGTGTATATTCGGAATGTATATTTATTTTGGATGATGACCTTTTATGATTGTTTATGTGCTACTATTATGTACATAACAGGAGTGGCGTGGCAGTTGTAGACTCCGGGCTATAAAGTAAACTCTATGGATTCGCAAATAAATTCCACATATTCCCAATCATGTGGAGTTTTAATGCACACAAAAGTCCACAAGATTAGCAATCCCGTAGAGTTTAACTAACAACTAAACTTGATTGGCAATCCCATAAAAAGTTTAATTACTAGTTAAATTCTACTGGATTTCCAATCCAATGCACTTCGTAAACCTTTTTTTTCAAAATTGACCTAGTTTCAGCACATACTATGGATATGGCTAAAAATAGATTGATTTTGATAAATATTGTTGAAGCTGATCGATTTTGTGAATAAATTTGTGAACGACTCTAGCATAGAACTTCCAACACCTAAACCCACTCATTACATTGCTAGTTCCCATAAAGTTTGAGTATATAGATCCCTAAGCAAGAGATGCAAATTCCTCAAGCTTTGAACCTCTCGTATTCACCAATTCAATTGATAAAAACTTTCAAAACAACTGGAAGATTAAAAACTTCGATGCAGGATATTAAGAATATGGACATTTTTAGAGCATGTTTGATAACCGGTCAAACTAGCCACAAAAGTCACTACAATATGTTTGACAACCGGCTTATTTCGGCTTATAAGCCCCAAAAAAAATAATATGATCTAACCCAACTTATTTTTTGATGGCTTATATATCATACAGTTTTGACCAAGTATTTGTCAAATTTACCCCTCAACATTTAAGATAATTTTAAACTCTATTAAATATTTAAATTTAGAGTCTTGTCCAATTTAATCATATTAACAGTGATGATGGATTATAATTCACTCATTTGTCAAACACTCTCCAATTAAAAATGATTTATAGCCCTTTTTTATTTTATTTTTTATTTTTAACTAAACACTTTAGCTAAACCACGTGGATTATAAGTAGGGGTGGCAAACGGGTCGACCCGACCCGACCCGACCCATATAAAATTTGACCCGACCCGTATAAGTGTGACCCGACCCGACCCGTTTAATAAATGGGTCAATGCGATCCAACCCGTTTATTAAACGGGTTACCCGACCCGACCCATATAACCCAAATGGTAGAGAATACTAAACATTTAAGTGAAATTCTTTCAAACAATGGCATTCTCCTTTGCTTCTTGAATATTAAACGGGTTACTCTTTTAAGTGATTTTCTCCACCAAATACTAAAACTGAAACAGAATAAGACAAACAGAGAATACAAACAATGACATTTCCTTTCTCCTTTGCTTCTTGAATATTAAATTGATAATGAAATCCAGAAAAAGTAGATGTTGACACAGAATAAAACACCAAAATTTCCAGGTCTGAAAACTAAATATGCATTCAGGGCAGCACCAACTTCTGTAAGGACTTGGGCTTAAATTCTGCGCACAACTCAATTAAAATTGCTAAAATAAGACAAGCTCCAACAACCCTTTAAGTAAACAATAATTATCTGTATAAAATAGATTAAAATGTCATTCTATATACATATGCATCAAAAAAAATTGGAGCAAGATTACTCCCATTAGAATGTTAAACAGGTTCACAAACAGGTACATTTCAAGCTCTCTGCAACAAATCCAATTTCACAAACAGGTTCATTTCAAGCTCTCTGCATTTCAAGCAATACTTAGATATGGAAGTTAGAATCATCCCATTGAAGGACTGCAGACTCAAAGTCCTGCTCCCTCTTGAGCTTGTCTTTCAAGAACCAGTCGCAAATTCTACCAGCATTGAGCTCCTCAATTGGATTTCCTTCTTGATCTGATATCACCCTCAACAGATTCAGTGATGATATCTGAAACATGTATGGCAACATTAGGACATACAGACAATTTTACAATTATAGCATCATCGCTACACTAGTGCTTCTCAGCCTATAGAAGAAAAGAAAGGATTTACATCATTTGCTTCACCTGATGGATGTAGTGAGCCTCAGTCTACAAGCGAGAAGCTTCCATCTTTATCTTTAAAAGAGAAATCACATAATTCATCTATGAATTCAAATGACGACAAACAAGCTACACCAGAGACCAGGAAAGACTTCCTCAAGAGGCTAAGAGATGTAGGAGGTTCATGTGGGAACAAGACTCATTCCAACTCAATGAGTTCATGCCTTGAATCGATGTCTGCATTGAAGGGTAGACTGCTGGAATTCCAGAAAACTCAGTTTGGCAACATAGATGTGGAAGAAAGGACAAAGGATCCTCATCAAAGGACTCCCGATGATGCAAAGGGAGAGAGAGAAACGGAAAGCAAGAACAAAGAGGATTCAGTGAAGAAGAGATTGTCTTCAGTATCAGATAACAGCAGTTTCTCGGGTCACACAGATGGTCAGTCAAGTGGCCAAAGGGAACCAAATCCACCCGCTCAAAGGGGGACAAACCCAGTGAAGGAAAGCAAGAGAAGCTCTTCTGGTGAAAGAAATACTGACAAAACAAAAGGAGAAGGAAAAATGCAATGCAAGAAAACCAATTCTGTCAGCGAGAAAACCCTTTTGTTGTCTGCTAACAACAGTGGATCAGATACCCATAAACCATCTTCATCGCCCTCAGCATCTCAAGAAGGTAGAAGTTCAGTGAACAGTAATCAAAGTGAATCAACCTCTTGGTCTGCTAACAAAAACAAGTCTTTTGTCTCTGCCTTTTATGGCAGCCCTTCAGTTTTCGATCGACGGTCTGCCCCAGCTATTCTAAGGGGAAGAAAGTAAACTAAGTGCTTGATCTTGGCTAAAATCATGGTAAAGGGATCACCATCCAGACAAAGTTTTGTAAATGTATTGATACTCCCTTAGTGTTTGTACGTGCATATACACTCTTCATGGTCTGTGTATTGGTAGTAGTATTTGACAGCTGCTTTTTGCGTAATTAAGTGTCTCTTTTGTGTTCTGATATGTTGCTGATTCTGAGAAAGTAAATACCATTTGGGCAAAGCTGCATGATATTAGATATTTAGTTGGTAATGTTGGTTGTCGCGAACCTGTTTTAACTAGAAAAAAAAATAATTAGTTGTTTTTTAAAGAATATATGGGGATCCATAAATGGTTTCTATTTGAAGCTTTTATTATTGTAGTACTTATCTTTCATGTTTCGATTATATTGCCGATGAGTAGAATGACAAATGATGGAGGTCAGTGGAGAATAAAGGATTCATTAGTACTTATCTTCCATTTCACCAGCTTGGAGAGTTTCATTAGGAAATTTTCATGTATGAGGATTTTGCATCCCATCTGCTCGATTTCATGCAAAAGTGATAGCTCTCTTTATTTCACGAATAAAACAACTTTTGGAGGAAAAAGAGTGCCTTATGGATTGGAAAGTTGAGTACGTTGGAATATTGAGATATTTCTCTCTAATTCTTATGATTTCCACTGGAAGAAACACTACTTTTATTCTTTTTTTTTTCCTTTTTCGGG